CGCCATCTTATCGACATAAATTTGGAATCTTATTGGCATAAAGATGGAGATAGATCGCCATCTTATAAGCATAAGATTGGAGATAGATTTTATATCACATTTAATCTTTGTTATATGTTGCGCGTTAAAAATTATCTCCTATTTAAATTTGAAGTTGAATTATGCATAGATTTTCGTATTTAATTTTGAAATTTTAATTTTAATTATCCATAAATTTTCAATGTAATTTAGATGCAGTCGATATTATCTCATATTTAAATTCCGTGATATATGGAGATACATATTATTTAAGTTTTATATTTCAAGAGTTCATATAATTTGAAATTCTTATATAGTAAATTAATTCATCATATATTTTTGAAAATTAGTCACACAGCTGAAAACATGGGAACGACTTAAATAATTTGAATTTCAATCTTCCATTATATGTGTTAGGCAATATAATTTATTTAAAAAAATAATATTTAGAAAATACTTAGCCTTTTTTATATATGAAATTATTAATAGATATATAAATTAGAAGATCTCAACAAATACAGTACTACCTACAAACTTTCATTTTATAGTTATCTTTTATTATTTTACATTTTATTATTGCTATATTATTTCTATTTTATAATTTTTATTCAAATCTTATATGTAACTTTTAAATCTTATTGGGGTGGATAAGTAGGGTAATTTTTATTCAAGATTAAGTGGGGTAATCTTACCAATAAAAAAATTAAGTTATGGGAAAGAATCAGATAGACATTACGGAGAAAAAATAATTAGGTTTAACAATTAAATCTTACATTAGTAGGTTTGAGAAAAAATAATTAGGTTTAACAATTAAATCTTAGTAGGTTTACGAAGATATAACGCACAGGGGAGCGGTCACCTTCAGGAAAATTTTCATAATGAAGCATAAAAAGCTACTTTACTTTTCATTGATTAGTAGGATGGATGGCAACTCGGTAAATAGTCGGACATACCAGGATACAACTGTCAAAAAAATTTCAAAAGAAGGGGTACAAACGTCAAATGGTAGTGCATGTACTGTGCAGATACTCACAGTCTTTGGGGGTTGGTCCGGATACGGCAGATAATTGCAAATTTGGTCGCGGGCTGAAGACTAAATCGCGGGCCTAAATCTAAGGCATCAAACATACTTTTTTTGGGAGATTAAGGGCCCAATCTCATCCTATCTCCCCTAACAAATGTGCCCTAAAGAGATGACACAAAGGGTACTTGTAACAAAAAATCCATGTCTCACTTGCCTCATAAACTACTGCTTGCAACAAAGAACAATAGCATGTCAATAACAAGTTTGGTACAAAAAGAAAAAGTAACATAATAGATCAACAACCATATCAATATACTCAATATAGAATTCAAGGCAGTCGAAAATCGAAAATCAAAAATCAAAAATAGAATCAACGCTTGCCACCACCACCGCCAATCTTAGGACCCTTCGATCCAGCACCACCCTTAGGCAAATTGCCCTTGCTCGTCTTTTGCTTGGAAATCAACTCCGCTTTTTTAGCTTTCTTCTCGTCCTTCGTTTTCTTGATCCTTTCCTTGATTTCACTAAAATATAGAAACATGAAAAAGTCAAGAATGGCTTTTGCGAATAGGCAATATTAGTAGAAGAAAAAAAAAAATACCGTAAAGCGGCTTCACGTGCGGCATCACGGACTTCAGGCTTTTCGGTTCTCCTCTTCTGGATGACTTCCAATGTGGCACCGACAATGGACCTCGAGTAGGGTTTTTTCGTGGCCCTACGCCTCTTCTTCACAGCTTCAGCAGCAATATCCTACATATTTACCAAAGATTTATGTGATTAGGAATAAAAAAAATAGATTCCAATAAATGGCAATGAATAAATGTAGGAAAACTTAGTAATAAGAGATGATATTGAAAATCAAGTTTCTTTACCTTCTTGTGCTGTTTACGGTACATGGCAGTCCAAGTAAGCTTCGCAGGCCTCAAGCGGTTGTGGAAGTACCTCTTGCATTTCGAGTTAGCAAAGAGGAAAACCTAAAAACATAAGCAAATCATAAACGATTAAAAAATTGACGACTGTCCAAAACAAAACTTGTGAGGTCAAATAAATAAAACTACAAGATGGCTCAATGCTACACACCTGGGAGTCTGAGCGAATAAATCTGATGCCTTTGCCAGGGTATATCTTGGCACCACTGAAACGGCAAAGCTCTGTCCTGATAATTCAAAATCAAAAGATATACTGCATTAAGGAAAAAAGCAATGAAGAAACTAAATCACACATGTACAGAAAGGTTAAATAATGTGAGAGTAAGTGAAAGCCAACTGTTTAATGCAAGCTAGACCAAGAAAGCTGTTTAGGTTAAATCATTTAGCATATTGAAACAGCATCAACATAAAACCATATTGCTGATGATAACTAATGAAACCGAGCATGAATTCCGAGTATACTTCAATTAACCAAACATTCAACATTTTTCTTATCAAATAAGTAGAGTGAAAAGGCAGAAAAATTTTAAACATAAATAGTCAGCCATTATCCAAACAGAACTCATAAAAAAGCTTAGGCAGAAATATTGACAGAACCCACATCAGCATTCCATGCCGGCTCTTAATCCTTAAAATTAACAAATCTTTTTTGTCAATAACCTCAGACCAATCAATCGAATATGTTTTAATACGTAAAATCGATCAAACACTATTTGAAAAACGGCTCTTTTGTTCAGAAAGGAAATGTTCCTAAAAAATTCTTGCTCCCATTGGACCATTTGTATCTATATGCATCAGGATCCCGATTCATAGATCTCTCAGTTCAAGAGGATCGAATCATTTCGTCTGACTCTTTTTCAAATTCGATAAATGTTGGTTGATAGCATATTTCATTATAATTCTATGGAACTGTCAGTGGCATTATCTACTCAAAAATTTAACCAGAACAATGTAAGGGTGTAAATTACAACATAAAAGAAAAAAAGAAGATTGTTGCTATAAACAATTGATAAAATCTACCAACTCCTGCGCAATTAAAATTAAATTATCGAGAACAACATCACATTGCTATAAAAAAAACCGGCAACACTAATCAAAATGGAATTTAAACTACAAAAGTGAGATCATCAAAAGCTAAAGACAGTAACTTTAGAACACTAGAGCACGCAGTGAAGAAAATCGGGTGAAAATATTTACTTGAGAACCATGGCTGTCAGCTATGGAGTCCGCCGCGCTTCCTTCTTCCCTGCAGATGACCTCTGACGAAGCCCTAGTGAGGTTTTATATACCGGGAAATACTTATTGGGTAGTTTTTGCAAGCCCAATAAGGCTTACTGTGTGTTCGCCCAGTGGGTCTCAGTGTTTGCTAGTGAGCCCAAATGTCACTTTTGTTTGGATATGTAGACTCGTGAAAAATATGCACGACTATATGCAGTATGATTCTTTTATTACTCTTTTTTTTTTTTTCTTAGTTTATCATTCTATATTGTATTGTTCTCCTAACTTTTTATAGACATTTTATTCTCAATCAAAAGATGTTTATTTAATAATGCAAGGAGTATACTGTGTTCGTTTCACCACAATTGAACCCCATATTAAAAGCACAATGTATTGATTGATTTTGGTTGAGAATATTCTACTTGTCTACTATAGTGCGCATTAAAATTATCCAACTATGTGAGTGCTTTCTCTAGGGCTCGAAAAGCGATCTCGTAGTTTGGGATAGCTTAGGTCTCCCGCGCTCAGAAGGAGGTTTGGGCCATCGTGATTTGAACGCTTGGAACCAAGTAGGGGTGAGCATGGTGCGGTTCGGTGCAAAATCGCACCGAACAGCAAAAAATCGAATACTAAAAATGTTCATTTATCCAAGTTGAACTGCGCCAAAATTAGAAGAAAAACTGAAGCAAAATCGCACCGAAATTTCCGGTTCGCTGCGGTTGCAGTTAACCGCAAATTAAAAAATAAATAAATAAATAAAATAAAGTTACATCATCATCATCTAATGTGTAATAAGTACCAAACCAAAGGCCCAAAATTGGAACTGAAAGTGAAAAATTAGGGCAAGAAATTAGATTTTAATATAATGTTTTATTTGTTATTATTATTATTTATTACTTTACTTATTTATTGTTAATGTTAATCAGCCCGAACCAAAGGACCAAAATCAACCCGTATATGTACATTACAAACATATTAACATATTTTTGTTTTAATAAAAAAAACATATTCGATGCGGTTCGGTTAAAACCGCATCTTTCGGGCAAAACATCGAATCGCATCGAAATTTATGCAGTTTTTAGAAATTCTAACCGCACCAAAAACCGAATCCTTGAAAAATCGAACCGAACCGCACCAAATACATCGGTTCTGTTCGGTTTTTCAGTTTCGACTCGGTTTTGCTCACCCCTAGAACCAAGCATTGCTTGCACGGACTCTTTGGAACATGTAAGCAAAAAATGATACCCTTTGGCAAAAATGGATTGGGAATGGGAAATACACAAGGATGACTCTCCCCTATTCAAATATATTTTTTAGATCCGACATGCCTTGGTAGACAAAGCGGGTAGTGAGCAAGCCGTGAAAGCTTTGCTTCATCGTTGGAGTTCACGAGGTAAGCAAGATGGGTCGAAAAGTTGCTATGGTTTCTTAAGGCCTCGCGGAACAAAGGTGCCATGGACCGGGGTAGTTTGGGAGCCTTGCAATACCCCCAAACATTCTTTCATTTTTTGGTTAGGAGTGCTCAATCGTCTCCGTACTAAGAACCGATTAGAATTCATCGATGAAGACTAACTTGCTCCTTTGTGGTGGTGCTATGGAATCATTGGGTCGCCTATTTTTCGAGTGCCTCTTTAGCTTGGAAATTTGGGGGGTGATGTTAGAGTAGGGTGCCCGGCGTTCCAATCTAATTGGACGTATTCTACTTGTAAATACAGTCTATTGGAATTATATTATGAATAAGGCATTTCTTTATCTTAAGAGAAAGCATTTATCTTATAATTGCACTTAAGATAAAATCCCTAGATCACTTATGGTTATAAGGTATGGTTGCGCATAGAGATGGTGATCATGGAACATACCTTGAAAGCCGTGATCTTAAATACAGTTCCAAGTCGATGGATGTTTCGAGATGGGATATCGAATAATCCATAAAAGACTTGCACATAGTTTGTATGCTTGTTGGACAAGAATGTTGCATTCCATCAACATTAGCGTAAGACGTAAGTACATTTATGTGGGTGCTTGTTAGAGAACAAGTTCACTGAACATGACCGTATGAAAATTCTTAATGAAGAATTTATTCAGTCGAATAAGAATTTTCATGTTACAATAGTACATGACTAATCCTAAGACTTGAGGCACAATGGTAACTTTGTGCATATTACATTCTACTTTGATTTATCCTTTTGGTAGCTAGCACTATCGTTTAAAGGGATAAGTTGGGTATTATGTTGATATGTATGGAAGTTTGTTAGTGGCCAATAAAGGATTCGACACTTATGAAGATAAGTGAATTTCCTATGTGTTTCATAGTTATTAATCCAAAGTCCTTGGCCAAGGCAGAGATGAATAGTGATTCATAACCGGGTTAATAAACATGAAATAGAATCATAGTTATTAAGTCAATTTGGGTTTCGACAAAATCATACCCAAGACTTAATCGGGAAATTAGATGTCGAAAGGATTTTACATGTATGGAGTTGTAATCGGAATAGGTTTACTCGCTATTCACTTAATACTAGATTCATGCTACTTGCTAGGTGTTACCATGATATGTGGGTTCATAAATTAAAGGGTTAATTCATGAATAAGAGTTAATAAGATTTAACTCAAATTACAAAGTGTTGTAAACCCACTACTAGTATTAAGGTGAACCTAAAAGGTCACACTAATTATGAACAAAGGTAAAGATTGTATTTCTAATGGTTAGAATTAATTGATAAATATCTAATTTGATTAGATATCAATTAAAGGAATATATTAATCAATAAGATTGATTAATTACATTTTGGATATTACTTTAGTAATTAAGGTAATTACTAAATTAATAAAGTTGAATTTTAAAATAGGATTTTAAATTTCAAAAATCCAAAATAATAATAATATGATTATTATAATATTGGGAAAATGATATAATAATAAAGTCTTGAGAAAGATTCTCAAGATTTATTATCCAATTATTATTTATATCTTTAAATATGATTTAAGGATTAAAATAATAAATATGATTATAATAAAATGGTTGTTGATGGTTGTTTGAACTACTTAACATATCTTATTATTTTCAAAGTCAAAAGTTAGTAAATACTATTTAAATAAAATTTGATTTTATTTAATATTACTAAATGTTGATTATTTTATGCTAAAATGTTTAGTATAAATATGTGCAAAATGGTTTTGCATTTAAGTGAAGTTTTTGATCCTAAATTTCTAAGTGTTAGAAAGAGAAGAAAGTGTTCTTCATAAAACTTCAAGAAAGAGTTCTTAAAATTCCCAAATAAAATTCATAAATATTCCTATACAAGAAAACCGAGTCTTTTCTACTAGCGAAGGAAAGTCGTCGGAACCGGGCTTCATAGGGTGGATACGTTTAGAGGGAAGACACTTGGATTCCTCTAGCGAGTAACCTCAAGTCGTTGAAGTTACAACCGGGAACCGATTCCCTCATCCATCATCAATAGTGAAGGAGTTCAAGACATTCGGTAAATATTTTTACTAGTATTTACTTTATAGTAACAAATCAAAATTTGTATATGATGCATGTTTTAAAGATGACGATCAGTTAATTCGCAATTAGTATGTACGGGTGTTGTATTTATACGATAAATACTTACTTTAAAAATTTTAAATTCCGCTGCGTACAGCCCGTACGGTACTATCGAACCCAACAGTGGTATCAGAGCCACGGTTATCGTCTTTAAAACAGATTTTGATTTGTTAAGACTTATGAGATAAGCAATATAATTAATTTTTTATATGATAAAAATATTAATTATAAAATTAAAAATCGTTTTTAAGCCACACGAGTCGTGTGACCTTGTCACACGAGTCGTGTGGCATGAAGAAAAATTTTGATTTTAGCTTCGTGATTTTCACACGAGTCGTGTGACCTTGTCACACGAGTCGTGTGAGCTCACACGAGTCGTGTGACGAGCCACACGAGTCGTGTGAGTCTGGGAAAAATTTTGATTTTCAATTCGTATTTTTCACACGAGTCGTGTGATAAGATCACACGGGTCGTGTGACCCTCACACGAGTCGTGTGACTCATAAATTGATATTTTATGTTCATTTCATTAGATGAATGTTTTAGGGATGATCATGAGCCTCATATTCATTATGTTTGAATGGATGTTTTCATTTTCAATATGATTGAATGAATGAATGGATGTTTAATTATGTTTTCAATATGATTGAAGAAATGTAATTTATCGAGACCTGCGAGTCTCTTGAGATGAAATTTGTAAAATTTTAAATTTTGTATCGTTAGAGATTAGATCAAGGTGGAGACCGTTCGATGACAAAGGCCCACGCATGTGTGGGTAATTTTACAAGTTGTAATCTCGAAGGCCTGTGCTTGTACGGGTAGATAGAATAAATGTAATAGAAGTAGTTCTACTATTTGTTTTATCACGTACATATGCATAGATCCATTTTGGCTCGAATGGATCGAATAGGAAAGGACATGATCATCCCACCATGCATTAGATGTATGTTAGGTTTATTTACGCTTTCGTTTCATTAGATGACTGAAACTGGTAAATAAACGTAAAGATGGTAATCGATGAGATCAAGGAACCCAAACGGATTAATTTGATTAATTCCATATCAAATCAATAATGGATAAAAATAAGTTGGAACTTATTAATCCAGGCCTTCCATCAAAAGTAGATGACATGAGATGCTACGATGTTTTATCATTGGCCACGAGTCGTGGGATGATTCTATGTCGAAAGCTGTGAACTCTATTAAATATATTGATATTCGTGAGACGGATTCCTCTTTGTGTTGGCCATGAGTCGTGGGACACTCTGGTGGGCCGTTATCATGAAAGTTTTGATGGGTTTGATTTGACACCGAGTAATATATATGGAGTCATAAAATTGAGGTATATAAGGAAAGGTGAGGCAAAACATCTTGAAGGTTGTATAGAGATACAATTGTCAAAAAGTTGACTACCGATAAAATTGTTTCATGGTGGCATCATAAAATTGGGACATGAAATATTTTTATTGGACTTCAAGCCCACTATGAAAATAATGATTTTCATAATTATAATGAGGTTCTAATTAAATTAGTGGGAGACATTTAATGTTAAAGACCTAATATTAAATGAATATAAATTCCATAGTCTAATTATTTTCTGCTTCGTTTGTTATTTT